CCCGGGGTGTTCGACCGGGCTACGCACTGGGCTGGGTCGTCGGGCGGCGGCGGCGCGAGTCGTGGCGCCCAGTCGTATCTCGCAAAAAATCAGTAACCAGCCTCCGGCGGGGCCCCCCGCTACCATCCAAACCCGAGTACCCGTCTACTATCATAGATAGAGGCTCAAGTGTGACATAAGTCCGCACACACATACGGCGTATCATACGACATACACACATAGACATACACAAAGCAACTCTCACGACACACGGGCACCGGGTGGAGCGGCGGCGGCGGCGGCAGCAGCACGCGCGGGCGGACGGATTCGGACGGGGCGGAGCAGCGAACGCCTGGGCGGCCGCTGCTCTGTCTGCCAGAGCGCGCGCCGTCTGCGCAGCTCGAGCGCAGTCAGGTGCACAGGGAAGCGTGGCGGCGCGGGGACGCGCGGCGGCGGTGGCGAGCAGGCGAGCGGCCCGCGCGCGGCGAGGCGGACAGGTGATCGGCAGGCGGGTGATGGGCCGCAGAGTGACCGCGCCCAGCGATCGGAGCGAGCCGATCGTCGCTCGGCCGCAGCTGACCTCGAAGGCGTGCGGAGCGCGACTGTCGGTGTCGGAGGGCGGCCGTCATGTGGCGAGGAGGGAGGACGACAAGTGCGCAGCGTACGGGTCGCTCTTCATCGGCCAGTCGAGCGGAACTCAAGTCGAGAGCATGACGGGTTTGAGCTCGGCACTTCGAAACGCCCGTGAAATCTGCTTTGGCGCCAAAGCTTGTGACGAGGTTTGCCACGAAAGGGGGCCCTCTGCTAAATGGGGTTATGGGGGCGGAAAAAGAATCCTCGCGGGACTACTTATGTTTTCGTAAACGTAGTCGTGGCCCCCCGCTACGTCGCACGAGTGCAACCGGGTAGCGGGGGGCTAAAAGAATGATGCGTCCCCCTCTCATGGTCCGAGCCTGACTGACTTCGCATGATTCCTAACTGTCTATCTATCTACCTAGTCGACAACTCATCTAGTCCTCGCCGGCACCATGGCTGTTGCGACGCAGCGCGAGGCGTGGCATGTCTCTCGCGCCAGGTCGCGATGCATTGTACACCCGGAAGCGCGTCGTTGCGCTCGAACTGACCTCGGTGCCCTCAAGCGCCGGAGCTGTGGCCCTGCTCCGCTGGGACCTGTCCGCAATGGAATTGGCGGCGAGGCTCGGTGCCGCGATGCTCGCGATCATGTCCTCGATCCGAGTCAGTCCGCGTTTGACAGTGCCAAAGTCATCGAGGGTTGCTCTAAAGCCATCAAAGTCTCTCAGTAGCTCGCGCAGAAGCTCCGTGTCTGTCATGACACCGCGGGACTTGGAATCAGCACGATCGACACGCGCCCGGTCTGTCGATGCCTTTTCGTTGGAGTAGTTCCGCCCAGCCTTGCCACGCGCCACCCGCTGAATTTTCGTGGCCGCTAGCCCCTCCTTTGCCGTCGCCTGCTTCCGTTTCTGCAGCTTGTACGCTTCGTAGAGGCTGATGAGAACGGCTAGCCCGACGCAGGTCCCAAAGGTAACAAACACCCCTTCTTGCGACTTGAAGGTGAGCGTGGGCGTCGACCGTGTCTCGGGAGCTGGGCACGCAGAGCCTCGTTTCAGCTCCCGCTCGGCGATGGTCTGCAGGACGTTGGCCGGCGCCTGGCTTCGGAGCCAGAGGATGTAGTGCTGTATGGAGGAGAAGAGCGGCCAGCCCACCGACTTGTTCACGGCAAGGAAGTACTGAGTCTTTTTGCTGTCAAACTGCACGCCGGGCGAGAACTCCCAGTCGCGACACCGCTCTGGGTATCGGTGGTCGTACAGCCATGACGCCAGCTCGGTGCGCTCCCACATGATGAGGGACGCCTGGCCCTCCCGCACCTTGTTGGCACAGATCGAGACTCTGTCCGGGACGGGCGTTCCAAGGATTGCGGCACTTCCTTCCCGTTCAAAGTCGGCGGGCGAGAAGGCGCCGATCACGCCGCGCATGGTGACGTTGACCGACCAGCCTTTGTCGACGTTTCCCTGAATGCGTGCATTGTTCACATAACGCGGCTGGCAGGCCACCTCCGATCGCAGCTCCGGCATATTCTTTGGCCCCCTGACGACCCTCCCCGACGCGGTGAAGAAGGCGGCGAGGTTGGCTGTGTACGAGGCGACGGTGACGAGGATAAAGAACCGAGCCCTCTTGCCTACCACCCGAGCTCGGGGGGGCGCGAGCCCTCCTGGACCCCACCACCCCTCCCGCCTCGCCCAGCCCTCCTGACCCCTCTCCCCGGTGGACCGCTCCACCCTCCCAGCGCGCTAGCCCTATGGGACCCTGTGGAGCCCTCCCGACGCCGATCCGCCGCCTCTTCCGCCCTGCACACTCGACTTCATGAGCGAGGACATCAACGGCGTCATCACCATGGTCCCGGTCGGCAACCTCAAGGCCTGCCCTCACCCTCAGGCTTTCGTTGCCCGCACGCGCTCTCACCCAAAGAGGCTCTTTATAGGCCGAGTACGATGTGACGGCACGCATCGCGCGAATGACCGCAGAGCGCAACACGAACGACGCCTTCTCTTGCCTGCTGCCACGCGGCGACGCCTCCGACGCCGCCGCCGCCAGTATCGCCCCCGCAACGGGTCTGCGAGGACATCACTGGTATTGTTAATATGTTAATATGAGAGCGAAATGAATGCATCAGTTCTTTGGGACAGTGCAATCCATTTAATTAAACTACCTCCAACTCAAAAAAAGTCTGGTGGCAAACGGACAACGGGGTCCCTTATAAAGCCGTCGAGGTGAAGGGTAAGGTGCGGGTGGTCCCCACAGACAAACCAGGTTGAAGAAGGATCTCAATTGGGTGCCGCAAGGGGAGGGGGCGACCCTCGCGGACACGTCTAAACGACAGGACTCAGGAGCCCCACGGCATTAGAAGTGCACGAAGGGCCCAAGGCCCAGTGGCGCAGTGCGCGTGATGCTGGTGGGGGAGCGGTGTGGGGGAGCGTCACGGTGCGAGGGAGAAGGTGAGGCACAGGCACAGGCACTCCACTGGCAGCGAGGCCCAGAGAGACGCGCGCGCGAGAGAGAGAGCCGCTGCCAGAGCCACAGAGAGGTTCAGGTAAGGTAAGGTAAGGTAAACGTCTCCACGCACACAAAGTGTGGTGCGGCAAGGGGGGGGCGACCCTCGCATCTGACTCCACGCCCGGGACGCGGGACACGGGCAGGAGCCCCACGGCATTCAAAGTGCAAGGCCCAGTGCCGTGGGTGAGCAGACCAGCACTCCACTCTCCCTCCCTCCACCCTCCCAGACACACAACCCGCCACACAAAACCCCACAGGCACAGCTCTCTTGGCCGACCGACGTGTTCAGAAACACCAAGCAGCGAAGCGAAGGTGAAGGGGGGTAAGAGGGGCTGTGGGGGACAGAATCTTGTGTTGAGAGAGAGAGAGAGCCGAGAGCGGAGAGCGACGAGCGAGCGAGCGAGCGAGCGACGGAGCACGGCGAGGGAGACGAGCGTCGAGAGAGCGGAGGCCGGAGGTCGAGAGAGCGAGAGAGCGAGAGTCAGAGCAGAGAGAGGAGAGAGAGGAGAGAGAGAGAGAGAGAGAGAGAGAGAGAGAGAGAGAGAGAGAGAGAGAGAGAGAGAGAGAGTCCTCACCGCCAAGAAAAAGGAACTTAACACTCCCCAGATACTAGAGATAAGAGTCGCCCGCCTCCCTGTTCCACGCAGCCACGCTCGCCCCCCCCCCCCCCCCCCATCTTTTTTTTTCTTCTTTTCCTTCTTCTTTTCCCTTCTCTCCTCTTTCCCTTCTTCCCTCTTCCTCCTCTTTCTTCTCCTCTCTCTCCCCTCTCTCTTCTCCTTCTTCTTCCCCTTCTCCCCCTCCCCTTTTCCCTCTTCTTCTCCCCCCTCCCTCTTCTTTCTCTCTTCTTCTCTCTCCCCTTCCTTTCCCTTCCTCTCCCC